AATTACGTTGAATTTCTCTAAAAAAAAATCTGTTCACTTATTTAAATTTAAAAGTATAATAATATCACAAAATACGATTTAATACTGATTGAATAGCTTAAAATGGATAATAGAATCATCTACCAAAAAATCAAATCTGGAGACATGTGCTTATGGAACAGGAAATGACAAAGTACAACATGAAAAATAATTGCATGTGCGACCCACTGAAAAGATTATAACATTAAATAACATATATTAGTTACAAATTTGGACGTCCAACACTATATGCAAACACACGGGGGTAGGGAGGGAAAACGAAATTAGATGAGCTTTACCAAATAACGCGATTGAATTGATTTTTTGGTTGACGAACGTGAAATTTTCAAAGGCGGTTTGTGTTAGTTGGCAAGAACTTCAGCGACTTTCCGCTCCCGAACTGAATTTCCACGTGCGTGGCAATTATATCCCTGAGGGATATAGGCTTTACGTTTTAATGAAAATGAATTTGGCCAACTAACACCGCGGGATGAATTTTATTTGTACGAATCGATTTTAAGCTCACCTAACCTTGGAGAGGACAGGAAGACGACTGGACTAGTGAACGCTCCCCGGGCTGGAGGCTCATCCCTACCACTCGTAGTGCATGTGCATTGTGGGTATTGTCGTCGATTGTCTAATCAGCTTCATTTGGACAGTTTTTGTCCTGACGTACAGATTTAGCTGTATCAAAAAGGGAAAAGGCCACGCCTTCTTTCACTGATTCACTATGGATTGATTTATAGTTTAGGTATCTTCCTGTGCGAGTATGTTTTCTTTAAACACAAGTTTTTGTCCCTAACTACACTAACATTAAAAAAGGCATGTTTGTTTTCTTTTTCAAATTCAGTGGCAAATTTGATCGTTGTGTAGATTTCGTTTAAGTGTTTTGTGATTTTTTCTAATTCCTCGTGGCCACGACTCCAGACGACATAGGTGCCATCCACATACCTAAGCAAAACCTTCGGTTTTAAAAACGGCAAGAGCAACTGCATTTTGCTCGAAATCCTCTATAAATATGTTGGCGAAAATATGGGATAATGGAGACCTTTCAACTCAAAATAGTGCGACTCTGTGCACAGTGTTAATAGTTCTATTATTAAATCAACTGGGGAGTTTTTCTTTGACAGGAATGTTAGTGAAAAACTCTCAACATCTAGGCTGACGAGAATGTCTTCTTTTGAAATTAGCTTTAGTGATCTTTACCAAGTGTGAATTGTTTGTGACGTGTGACTGAGTTTTCCCGACAAAGGTTTTAATATGGTAAAGAGAAATCTACACAATTCCCGATTTGGTACGGTTTTTGAGCTTACTATGGGTCTGAGGGGTACATTTCCTTGTGAATTTTAGAGAGCCCATACATACGTGGCGTTTTAGAATGGTGTGGTGTAGGTTTAGAACGGATTTTGTCTGAAAAGTGGTCTATGCGTTTTCTTAGAATTCTGTCAATCCAACATGTTCACTGCTTTAGGGGGTATGACAACGATAAAACCTTTACAAAGAATTTAAAAGATTCGCCCAATCCGATGATTTCGAGGTGTATGTCTAAACCAAGGATTATGAACACCTCACTATGCCCCAGTGGTTGTAGTATATCGCTACAAACACACAGGTCACCAATTATTTGCCACACAGGACGGGATTCGAACCCGAGCAGACGAATGCCACTGGCCAAGTGACACACGCCCTAGCCTTCTCGGCTATCTGTGCTTGAAGACTGGGGAGTCAAAACCCGGTATTTAAGCTGTCGCCACCGATTGCGAACAGATGGCGTTGCAGATGGTTGTTCAATGCGTTACTAGGTAGCAGCACCAGCTAGTCACGGACTATTTAGATGCAATCTTTTAGTTTTAGTAGTAGTAAATGTGTTCCTGAGACTTTGCTGCAAACATTAGTTTCCCTAAAATTGCTATATTACAATAACCTCGTCCAACTAAATCAGGGTTAAATTCAATATTACATTGTAAACTATATGTCTTTTGATTTTGTAAGATTTCGGTTTCAAATAATGCTATCAGAACATAAAAATGTATAGGAAAACCAGGAAAATTACAACAAAAACTAAGTTTTATATGATGTTTACTACAAATACCGAGATTTATCTTTCATATATAGTATGGTATCTTTCATATATAGTATTCATATATAGTATATATATATAGTATGACAGTTAAAATTCAACAACGGGTAATGGAATTAAAAGGCAAACAAAAAAGTCTTACAAAATACGAATTATTGGCCTAGCACTGAAAGGGTTCAAACATATAAAGTAACTAATAAACAGCGGCAATTTAATTTCGCAGTTCGTATACATAATATATCACACCTCACACAAATAGCAAAACATTTTATGTCTTCAATCAGTTCACCAGCACCCCAATCAATGACTTTGTAACAAAAACTGTGTTTTAGCGTTAATGAACAAACGTGGGTAACACATTCAATGTGAAGCCTACAGCGTAGTTCACACTAGTAAACATATTATATGTGGTATTATGGTGTTGTTACAGTGCATGCAGTTTTGACTGTTATTTCTTATTGATTTCACTTTAATAATACAGTTAAGTGTACACTTAATATATATATATATTAATATACACTATACATTAATATACACTATGTTCTCAAAATGAACTGAGAATAATTAATTTGAACGATAGTCAATGAAAGTCCAATTAATTATTTCCTTCATCTTTGTATATTTTATGAACATTAAAATTCAAATTCGTTTCTGTATTTATATTACAACATAAACAGAAGACGCTCTTAATACATGAATGCTCCTAAAGTACAGGCTCAACTAGTGCCTTACGTTGCCAACTTCCATCCAGATTTAGTCTCTTGTAAATAGAGGAATTTAGCAAGTTACTGGAGTTCAGCTAAGTAATATTCTTAAGTGTTGAGGTTGACGAAACTGCAACATTAAATTGTTTCAAAATTTCATTGAACGGGTTTTCATTATTTTTAAATTTAATTTAATTAGCTGTTCCCAGGTGTGGACGATGATGATGGTACAGTAGCGTTGTTGGTTACCGGTACTGAGTTCACACCTGATTCACGCTACATTTTTGCGTATATACAAATCTGTACCTGTGCTAGGTTGTTGAGTTAATTCAATAAATTATTTTTATCTGAACCCTGGAAACTTCCCAGCACGCCGACTTGAGCGATCCGCTGGCGAGAGTTGGTGACGTCTTTCCCGCTTTAACTACGGAATAAGGTATATATTCCGAGCGGGAAAACGCCACGTTACATTGGCGCCCGAACAGGGACATTTTTTGATTGATTTGGACTTAGTTTTACTGGAGTTGTGTTTTAATTTTAGTTAGCATATACCTAGTGTATTCTAACTCTAGGTTGAGCTGGTTTATATCAGTTGGAGGGAACTAGCGCTTGTTTTTAGGCTAACTTACGACCAAGTAAAACTAGTTAACGACCAATTATTATTTAAAATTGTGGTTGTGAATTTAGTTAGCCCACGTAGCATAGCCAATTTTGGCCGATACTTTTGTGCTAGTCTTAGCAACCAGTTATTGCCAGTTGTATATATTTTTTTTATTGAACCTGCATTAAACAATAAATTTTATTGTTGTGGGGTGTATAGTATAATTTTATTTTTTTTATTTTAGTGTTGATTTGATAATTTAGTACTTGCTTTATTACTCTTTTAAATAGCTTGTTGGTACTTAGGCATTTTATTTAACTGTTATAACTGGTGATAAGGGTTTGAGTGTGATAACACCTATACATAGACATGGGCGAATTTATTTTTTTTATTTAATAATTTTGTATTTTATTTTTGACTTTATCTGATTAGGCCCGTGTTGCGGTCATGCCGAATACCACTGAAGTTGAGTCGTCGGTGGCGCAAACCGTTACCACAGTACCGGTGGTAGTGACGACTTGCGCTGGGACCTTTACGGTGACTACCGCCAGTAGTACTGCGAACCCTCTCAATGTCACGCGGGATGTAATACCCCCTGCGACTCTAGGGGCGATCCCAAGGACAAACCCGACAATTTTGGGCGAAGGCTTGAGTTCTCCGTTCGATGATCCTCGCGTGGGGTGGATCCACGAATTGCGTAAAGAGGACCTCACACGTGAGATGGAGAGGTTTGGACTAGACACTCGAGGGAAGGTGGAAGATCTGAGAAGAAGGTTTTGCCAGTTCTGGAAGGACCCTAAGAGTCAGTGGCCTTTCTTGTCTCAGGCTGGTGTGATTAACCAAGCCCAACAGCCTACATGGGTGACGGCTATGAGCCATGAACCTGGTTACATGCCTGAGAGTGCTTCTGGGGGTGATCAACATCCTCATCCCTTCCCAGGCGAGAATGTGAGGTCGGACCCCAAACACGGCGTTGCGGATAGTGTTTGTGAAATGCTGGGGCTCCCGCCTGGCACTGACGTGGACACAGTTAGGCAGACCTTGGCCGTGGTGTTGAGAACCGCGTCAGAACCAAAGACATCAAGCATAGACGGTCTACGTAAGGAGACTGGCCCATTTAATTTGACCGGTAGCCTTGTCACCTTTAGTGACGGATTCCAGCGGCCTATAACGACTGAAATTCAGCCTGAACCCCTATCCTCTGCAACCGGGGTGTCTTCGGCTGGAGTAGGTCCTCAGCCCTGTCTTGGGAGCGTGGAAGGTATTCAATTTGTAGTAGAGCATTTTTAACGTTTTAGAATACCAGTCACTGTTCTTCTACATGTGGATTAGGAAAAAATATGAATAGAGTGTGGAAATCACTTATGTGTGTTTCCTTTCAGTATTCCCCTCATATTGTGTCTAGGAGTTCAATTTTTATAATTATAATTTTATTTTTTAAATATTGAAAACCAAATAAAAAAAAATGCAAGATCGTTGTATTATGGATTACTAACTTAGCTATGCAGTTTTAAAATTCTAATGGTTAAAATTTTAAAACCAAAATAATTCTGATCCTATAACTGTACTCAAATTAACATCCTTAATTCTTTTTCAGGGCATTAGGTTCAAGTCTAAACTTAGTGAAAAGGTTCTGGAACATATCAGAAACGGTCCTGGACTTGAAAAATTTGTTTCTGACTCATTAAACGTCGACAGTACTGATTGGAGCTATTACAAAGGAAAACTTAGAAGAGAAAAGGGTGAAGAAGAGCGTCTTAGACTACCTCCATGGTTAAAAACAGAAATACCTACTGGTAAGTCTATGCGTAATGTATACTACAACAATGCAATTAAGCAATCAATCCGTTTCTGAAATAATACGAATTAGTATTTTCTAAGGTATTTACAGAAGAAGTTGCTAAAGCAATTTCCTTGCAGTGTTTTTATATTATAATCCGTAATTATTTACAAAAATCCTAATTCACCATAAACCTAATGTAATGACATTTTTGTATGCCTTGAAAGTAGTTTAACTGTTGTAAGCTTGTTAGTTAATTTAAGCATTTAATTTGATTTGACTGAACTCGCTTAAAAAAGTTTGAGGTTCAGGAACAGTAAAACACTGGCATTCTGTTAAAAGAGGAATGTAATAACGAAATTAAGAGTAAAATAACAAATTACAGAAACAATGAGTACAGACTGAACAAACAAAATTTGTAAATACAATGTGATATAAATGGCCAAATGACCAGCTGAGAAGGGGTGTTTTAAAAGAAAGAGAACAAGCCAAGATAAAAAGATTGAAGGCCTGGTGATTAGGGAAATGGAGTGCATTGAAAAATAAAATAATAAATGAAAAGTATAAGTTAGAATTATAAAAGTATATGTTGTAAATATGAAATTAAATTTAAAAGAAAATTAATAAAATAAAACTAGGTTTATTCTCAAAGAATTTCTCTCTAGGGAGAGAAAATCAAATTTTTAAAATTTTATTTTTATTTTTTTACTATTTTGCGAGTGAGCAAGCAGATTTAGAATTATAATAAATTATGGTTACAAATCTAACTACAACCTAACTTCTGCCACTTAAGTGACAACAGGCCATGGGAGCTAAACTTAAACACATACACAACACGCGCGTGCGACACTTCATTGAAAAATTAAAACGATTTTGGATACTAAACTCACGCAAAGCCGATTTCTAGGAGACTGTAGATTTCTTCTGCAGATAATCTAGAGGGTTGCCACAGATGCCGGAACCTCTCCGCCAATCGGATGGTGAAACGTCATGCAACCAGGGTCTCCTTTCAGCTGATTGGTTTTCGTGAGTCCACGTGATTTGCACACGTGTAGAGACTTCCAGAAGTTTATTGGCATATTCACTGTCTCTGTCACCGAAAGAGTATTGAAAGCAGGAAGATATGGGTAGAATTACAAAGTTCAGGAAGCTTGAGCAATATGAATTGAAATATGTTTCAGGGTTTCATAACTGGCAAAGTTAAGAAAATTTAAAAAATTTAAATTTTTTATTAAAATTGAGTTAGAAGTTACACTGTGTATAAGCGGACTCCCGATTTACAGGATCCAATTTTGCACGGCTGAAGGAGGAGTTACGGTCCCTCAACTTGCACACGGTTTGTGAGGAGGCTAGATGTCCCAACATCGGAGAGTGTTGGGGTGGGGGAACTCATGGCACCGCCACCGCCACTATCATGGTTAGTATCAATATGTTTATTCACCATTGAGAACGACAAACTTAACAACAAATTACAATCGGCGATACAACAACATAAAAATTGAATGAGACATTACTAGTTTACTATTTAAATAAAAAGTATCAACAAACTGATACATACTTTCATCCAATAGGATGTCATAAACCCTTATAATGGGTAAGCGGTGGCAGTCTCTTGTTTAGAGTCAAAGGTCGATAACATACTAAAATTTTAATAAAATCGGCCGATTGCGTTCTTGCAAAAACCACATTTTTACTTTATTATACGGAAAATAGCTATTAGTAAAAAAAATACTAAATTTCGTAATAAACTGAAAAACTATGTTTGGCTATGTACACATCACTAGCTTGGCTATGTACACATCACTAGCTTAGCTATGTACACATCACTAGCTTAGCTATGTACACATGTTTAGCTATGTACATTTTCACGCATGCACGCACGCACACACAGATACACAACGCACACACACAGACATATTCTGCGAAACACGTTGTAGTTATAGGAATTACACTATATCTAGGAATTAAATGAAAGCCAAGATCGTTGAAAAGTCCTTTTTACCTGTCTGGTTTCTATCCTAATTTGTAGTCGTTGAGCAGTTGCCTTACCAAGCATCTTTTATAATCAGTAGGCGTATTTATTGTTTACACTTCAAACGCTTCACTGATTGCAACTGTTTTCTCTGAGTGCAACTCGACAGACTATATCGGGGTTTTCTTCAGGTGAGTTTTAAAATCTTAGGAATTTGTTGTACATTCATTTTTGAAACGTGTATAGAAGAAGTCTGGTGTTCTAGAATATACATCTGGTTCTTTGCGTCTTAAGACAGCTTCACACTGGCGTCCGCGGACGATTTCTTCGTCCGCGGACGGATGCAAAAATAAATCGTTGCCCATGTTATCCGATGGGACCGTTCACACCGCGCATTGATACGTAGCGTCCATCCGCGGACGCAGAAATTCATCCGTGGACGAATTGGCGGAATCGCTCCGGGAGCGATTTTTCTAAAACGTCCGTGGACGACCACGCTCTCGCGCATGCGCACTGAGCACCAAACCACGTTTAGCGCAGCGCAGCATCTGTCCCTCACCTCAGTGTTAATTGTATACATTCATATATTCATATATACTCAGTTGTATTCATATATTTAACTTTACTTAAAACTATTGTACTACTGTGCTACTACTACTTGTTGCCTATTTTTCATAATTTTCAGTAATTATAATGTTTGTTAAAGGGTATATATTTTTTTTTACTTCAATAATTTATATTTCATCATCAAACAATTTCTTGTAATAAGTTTTACTCTCATGGTTTTTCCAACAATTATATTGTTTCAAAATATCGTTGTATGATTTTCAACGACCTATCAATTAATTGATTCCACCGCTAAAACTATTAGCATTGATTTATAGTATTAAATACGAAAAATCGCGCCCACCTTTAAGCACATGAGACAATGTAAGATTGCATTTCCATATTACCATTGCTCGGTACATTTATTTAATAATCCCAAATAATAGATAAAAAATCATCAATAAAAAAATCGCTCATTGGAATTCCACAGTTTGTCTCGGTTTTCTTTATTTCACCATCAATCATTTTCAACACCTCCTCAAACTTATTGGGCGTTAATCTAATGTTGAGAATCTGTCTTCATCTTGCTCCAGATCGTTCATTAGGTGATGGAATTCACAAAATCGCTACCACTTGCTGTTAATCGAATAAACCCACTTTCTCATTTTTTGTAATGAGTACAAAAGTACAACCTCGTCGTCGCTATCATCACTAACGTACTTGAATCAAGCCATGGAACCATGGAATCAAGCCATGGGACAGAAAATCCGGACTGATACCATGTGACAATATGCACAGACATTGTGTACACCTCCCTCGAGCTGTAGGAGGAATGGCCAACTTCCCTACAGTATTTGCATTTGCGAATGAGTGGACGCTCGAAGCGTAGCTCGCAATGTGAAGGGGTCGGGTAGCATCCATCCGAACCATTTCATCCGTCCGCGGACGAAATTATCGTCCGCGGACGCCAGTGTGAAACCGCCTTTACCTTGTATGCCCTAATGTTGGCAAAGCTCACTGTTTTCCTACCAACTACCTTAGCAACAATCTAATAGAAATGCTCACCAGGGTTGTTATTTCTTCAAATAACTAAACCCCCGTGACTTCTCAGTCAAGTTGCTGCTGTGTTGTTTAACTCTTAGATCCCAGAATTTTGTAAATTTGGAACATGGTTTTATTACTTTTTTGTTAAACCTTCCAGAAATACTTTAGTTCAATCCATTGTGAATATTCATCAAACACGTGGCTGGCAGGAGAAATAATCTTGTTTTGGAGCGAAACAGTTATTTGATAAAATAAAAAGATTACCTTATCCAACCACAGTTGCTGGTATGACAACTAGTTTCGTTCCTTAGAACTTAGAACGTCAGGTGATTGTATGCAACCACATCATCAATGTGTATATTTTAGTATGTCAAAAGATTCCCTAAAATACTATCAAAATCACAATAGTCAAAACTAGTCATGTTGATCAAATTATTAAAATGGAATAAAAAGTGATAAAAGTGGTTAAAACTGTAATGGCAATATCAATAATATATTCCAACCAAGGGTCACAATGAATAACATTTATTTGCTTGTTTTTCATATTTTTGCAGTTCCCCGTATTCCGCAGCCTTAATTATCGATTCGCTGTTTTCTGCTTTAGTACGCGGGTTTTCAGAGCCATTTTCTTCATTTTCAAACAGAGGCAAATGTATCTCAGCCTATTATTTCTCTCCTTTAGGTATATTAAATTAACTTCTTAGCAAATTAACTTTTTTCTTAGCAGGTAGTTTGTATACCAATTTTGTCAACTGTCCAATTAGTGGGTCTAGATTCTAAAATTTAACTGTACTGTTTGAATTCCCATCTGCAAGGATTGTGGTGTATGGACACTACCTTGTACACTTCCGTGCTCCGTTTAAACCCTTAGCAATGAATTTCTGCCTCCTTGCTGGTTGATATTCCTATCGATGTACCACCTGTGCCACTGTTACAACATTAGTTTGTACTCAGCCACTGGTGTTGCTCGTGCAAGAGCTTTAGCTCAGGTGATGCAGTATTTATTTCTTTAACCCAGGAACACCTTTCGGCGTTAGTCCTTACAATGCAGCCTGGAAATGTCATGTGAAATTTGCTTATACAAATAAATGTATCTGTGTTTTTTGAGATGGTTTCCTCTTCTAGAGTAGAAAGAATCTAAAAAGTTTCAGCATTTGAGTATCTTCTAAATGAGATATATACAACCGTTAAATTGTTCTAAGCAATCTGAATCGGTAAAAAGTGGTACAATTGATTTACATTTTAAAATTAAAACCTTAAGAGCAATTCCATAGGTTTTTTAACAACTTTTAACGCCTTGGTTTTTACGCAACACCGTGTTAAAATATTTCATTACAATAAAGCTCTGGACACAAACCCACATATTCAATTACTAATTACCGTCTTGTTACTAGCTGAAATACATGGACGACTTTTACAAAAGTTGGAAGTCTGCTCTAGTTCAGGGGTATTCATGTCTACATATGGACATCATCAGGGATAACTTCATAAAAGAGCGAATCTGTATCAGAAAACAAGAGTTTAATTTTTTTCTGAAAATCCTTTCTATTACACTATAATTAAAATTATACACATGAATGTTACTTAGCTCTAGCACATAAAAGCCTATACAAATTAGTTTATTAAACTCAATACTTTCTTTCGAATAAGTGACAGCAGCAAATAATTCCTTGTAATTAGTTCTGTATTTAAAAAGACGGGACTTACAAACTAATTTAAACAATAGTTTTTGTGTGGTTACAAGTTCTAGAGGTTTTTTTACGAAAATTTTAAAATGTTTACCAAACATTGTAATCTTCATTTTTATAAAGGGTTTTTAGTTTTTTGCGTTCTTTCCATAGTATACCAATCTATGTAGGGATTTAGCCGAGGGCTACGATTGAGTTATATTTTTAAACTTTCAAACCTAGTTGAATAGGTTGTTTTAGGTTTAAATAATGTATTTTGTATCTTTCATTATCTTCTTAGGTGGTTAATAATTTAATTTGGTTGGTAAGAATTTTGTGGAGATTGATGAACACTATTAATAGAGTTCATGTAAGAAACAGGGTGTGTAGGCTTTGACTAGAGTGCTTTCAGTTTAAATGAATAGTGTTAAACTTTAAAATGTTTTATGGTGTTCAAATTGATTATGTATTGTAGGTTTGGATGGCATTTCTACTCTTGCTCGAGTCTGTTTGGAACAGTCACTTAGATGAGTCACTTAACAAATGTTGAATAGTTCTTTAATTTATTATTCCACTGAAATTAATATGAAACACAAGTCCCTATTTTCCACCCCGCAGTTTTTAAGATATACAGCGTTAAAGTTTCCGTTGAATGCATTTCTTAATTCCACAAATTCATTGAAAGGTCCAGAACATGATCGGAAAATCTAGAATGTGCTCGAGCAACACTTTCATCGACCGTTTCCATCTCCCCTTCCGAGTCTACCTCCATACTGTGAATTAGTACAACTGTTAAGAATGGCTTCTCTTCTAAATTTCTTCAACTAATATTATTATTAATAGGATAAGAATTCTCTTAAAGAACATACTATGCATACAAACTACAAGAAATACTAGGCTTGTTAAATCGATTTCCTACCTAACTTAACTTCCTCGCACTCAACCCCAGGAGTTTCTTTGATTTTCCTTCATACATCGTATACAACTGTCTTAACCTTTTTTAAAAATTTAGGTTTTGGGCTCTGTACGCTTTAGCTAATACTTTTGTGCAATATTTATTTGGCTGACATTTCTTAAGACTTATTGTCAGTGATCTTGAACAGAAATTGGTTTGCGTGCACTCGACAGAGAATACAATTTGTACCATGCATATGACCAGTTTCCAAACATTTAATAGGCAAAAGACTT